TTTTTTTTTTTTTCAAAAAGCGAGCAGCGGAGAACCGATCGGGCTTCATGCATAAAACTGATAATCGTGTACCTGGAGCTTCATGCTGTCCAGTAATGCAGCACCTTCATCCTAACCGACGCCCTTTCTCTTGCATGCCGGGAGGCCAAAGCACGTCCAGTATGAGCTCAAGTTAAGCTGCAGCACAGGGATCATCCCTGCTATTTGCGGTCTGCGAGTTTAGTGCAAAAACGCATGATGGCACTTTGCGTTTTCGAAATCATGACGCTTTCTGATCCTCTTTGAAGCAGCTTTTTCTTAATTATGGTTGAACGGTTTTGATATTTGACGAAGCCTGAGTACGCTGCAGATTCAAATGAAATTCTAATGTCTCTGCAGCATGAGTGCAATTGCATTAGTTATGCCGCCTGTGCGTTTTCATTCAGGTTTTGCAACACTGAAGCGTAGAATCCTAATTTTAAAAATTTGATTACTGTTTCTTTGCAGCTGTTGAAAAGAGAATTTAGTGAAATACGAGCCGCTGTCGCAGAAAATTTGATGTTCGTGAAGGAGGACCTCATCATACCTCATTTTTACACGTCAGTTTTTGATTTACCTTTGCTTGTACTTTTTTTTTACATGTATCTTTTATGGTGTGAGGTATTCTAGTATTGACCGAGCATTTAATAATTGATTTTAGAGCAATTTCAATTCCAAGACAGGCTCAAAATGTGGCATCTAAGTCATTCTGAAAGCTGCTCGTGGTTTTAGGTTTCAAGATTTCATCGTTACGAAAGCAATGGGAAAAACGGGTCCGCTGTATGAATTTGATGCTGCGGGAGAGATACGATTAAGACAGGATGCAGCTGTGGACTGTGGTGAGTCCCATCCAGCCAAAGTATGTTTACAAAGTCATTGATCCTTTATTCAACATTCTGTCTTAGTAAGTCGGTCTTGACCATTTATATTTTAGAATCTTCTGTTTGAAATTTTGGTTGTAAAGAAAATATTGCATGAATAAAGAGGGATTGAGAGAAGTAGTTATGGATCTGTTAAATTTTTTCGAACGAAATACTCACCGATGCACAGAACAGAAAAACAATAACAAACAAAAAGAATTGTCAGGCTCTATAATGTTACGCGCTTAAGTACTCACTGTGTTGCTCGCAAACAAATTTGGAAATAGAAATGTTGCAGGTTGTTCTGCGAAGCTGGTATGAAAAGAACAAACACATTTATCCGGCTTCTCGGTGGGAAGCTTTTGTTCCCAACAAAGAGTACCGGCGAACTATTGATGATCTCACAACTATATGAAATTTGTGAATTTTTTTTTTT